CTGAAACAAGGTTGCCACCAGGGCAAAAGGTAATAGGCAGCAAGTGGGTTTACAAGAGAAAATTGCAAAATAATGGTGATTACAGATACTGTATAAAGCTAGATTAGTGGCTCAGGGGTACACACAAAAGAAAAACGTGCATCCAGATGGCAACAACTGATAAAATACGAAGCAGAAGTAAGCATAAAATATCATAATGTCACAGAAGCAATAAAGGAGAAATTAATTGAGTTGCAATATTTTGAATCAGAGAAAAACGTAGCTGATACTCTGACAAAACCCCTGAACATACAGAAACACATGGAAATAACTGAAAAGCTGGGTATATGTTCTGCTCAGACCTTAAATTTGGAGGGGTGTCAAGGAAAACTACAGTCTTGAGCAGAATGGAGTGTATTAATGAGAAGCCATAATGATCAGGTGTGTTAAAACTGAGTCAGGATGACTCTGCAGTGCTGATGCAACTCAGGGATGATGCAACTCAGAGGTGATGCAATGTGTGATCTGATTTGTCCTGCATATGTATATATGTGTTAATTGTACAGTCAGTTGTATCTTCTTCCTGCATGAAGATGACTTCTACACGTTATGCTGCCAGAATGCTTTAAATAGTGCAGTAAATACACGTTGCTGAAGGAAATGCTGCTGGACTGTGTGTGAGTTATTTCTGGGCTGCGAATCATTCTGCTAAAACCGCAATTTGTGCAAAGAAACGCTGACACTGTTATTAAGGTTAATGAGCACAGTGGAAACTTTCCCCGTTTGTTATTTTCCTGAGCCAGACAGGGCAGCAAAGATGATTAAGAAGAGAGAGGGTGTTCCTGTCATACCCCGTCAAGCAACTGCAAGTCCCCCAGCTGTGGTATCGAATGATATACTGTAATACAGTGGTACCTCAACTTACGAACGTCTCCATTTGTGAACGTTTCGAGGGTGCCGGACCACTAACAATTTGTCAGAAACTACCGGGGTCCTTCTCTGTCGTTGCTCCAGTCCAGGAAGTGGCTCTGCCCTTCCCTGCCTCCTCAAGCAGCTGACCACTCCTATGAGGAAGAGGGATGCGGATTCTCTCCACTAAGCTAATGATTGGTTGACTGCAGGAAGAGGCAAGGAAGGGCCAGGTGAGCTCCATTCTGAACTGGCGCACTGCTGGAGATGAAGGACCCCAGATGTGCACGAGGAGACATGGCTGGCCTGTGAGGTGTGGGAGAGTTTATGTGCTGCACCTCTAATTCTCCGCATATGAATTTTGTCGGTGGGATCCAAATTAATTCAGGCCCATATTTAGGAAAGAGTTCTATTATGTCTCTCCCTTGAGGCTTCTTTTCTCAAAGGTAAATATGCCCAATTCTTTCAGTCTTTCTCTGTTGGCTTTCAGTTTTCAAGATGTTTGCAAAACGTCTGCTTTGTAATCTCCTCCAGAATTTTCCCTTAGATGGATTTCAAGATAACAGATCTGCAGTTCCCCTTTTTAACATAGAATTCTTTCACCTGTTTCTCTTTCTCCATCAGGTGAATAAGAGGACAAAAGGTGGAAAAGGGAAGAATGGAAGCCAGAAAAAGAGAGGGAAAAAGAAATCTCTAGCTTCTGCTATTGATGTTGATGCACTTCTGATCATCTGAAAAAATTAACACGTAAAATGAAGGAGAAAAGGTTCCATGGGCAAATAAACATTCAAGGGTGTCTCAGATGACAGTAGACTCCAGCCAGAGGAGAAATGAAGTCAATGCACTGAACAAGGAAAGAGCATCACAATGCACAGTGATTGTACTTCATGTGATACATCCCTAAGAGGTGAGAGAGAGTACAAATGCCTACAGTGTGGAAAGGGCTTCAGTCGGAGCCGTAGCCTCATTTCCCATCAAAGAACTCACACTGGGGAGAAACCATATAAATGCATGGAATGTGGAAAGAGCTTCAGGCAGAGCGGTGACCTGAGTTTACATCAAAGAACTCACACTGGAGAGAAACCATATAAATGCACGGGATGTGGAACGAGTTTCATTAAAAGCACTCGTCTGAGTTCCCATAAAAGAACTCACACTGGAGAAAAACCATATAAATGCATGGAATGTGGGAAGTGCTTCTGTTGGAGCAGTGACCTGAGTAGACATCAAAGAACTCACACTGGGGAGAAACCATATAAATGCATGGAATGTGGAAAGAGCTTCAATCAGAACAGTTCCCTGAATTCACATCAAATAATTCACACAGGGGAGAAACCATATAAATGCATGGAATGTGGAAAGAGCTTCAGTCACAGCACTCACCTCAGTTTACATCAAAGAACTCACACTGAGGAGAAAGCATATAAATGCATCGAATGTGGAAAGAGCTTCAGTCAGAGCACTCACCTCAGTTCACATCAAAGAACTCACACTGGGGAGAAACCATATAAATGCATCGAATGTGGAAAGAGCTTCAGTCAGAGCGGTGGACTTATGAAACATGAAAGAACTCACACTGGGGAGAAACCATATAAATGCATGGAATGTGGAAAGAGCTTCCCTTGGGGCAGTCAGCTGAGTTCCCATCTAAGAATTCACACTGGGGAGAAACCATATAAATGCATTGAATGTGGAAAGAGCTTCAGTCAGAACAGTTCCCTGAGTTTACATCAAAGAACTCACAATGATCCCAAAATGCATTTAGCTTTTTTGTAGTCACATCAAACTGTTGGCTCCTATTTAGCTTGTGATGCACAACAATCCCCAGATCCTTTTCGTTTGTAGTTTTGCAGTGCCAGTTTTCCCCTATCTGTTAACTGTGCAATTGTTTTTTTTCCCCCTGATGTGCAGGACTTTGCACTTCTCCTTATTGAATTTCATTCTGTTCTTTTCAGGCCTTGGCTCCTGCCTATCAAGCTCATTTTGAATTTTTCTGTCTTCCAGGGTGTTTCGTGATATTTCAAAATTTGATTAGCATTCCCTGCATCCCCAGTCCATATCATTAATAAAAATGTTGGATAGCACCGGGCCGAGGACTGAGCCTTGGGTTACCCCTCTTGGGAACACCTCCTAGTTAGAGAAGGAGCCATTAATAATCATGCTCTGAGTACAATTCTGTAGCCCACTGTGTATCCACCTGGGGCTCTTGCTCAAAAGCTTTACTGAAATTAACATAGAATATGTCTACAGCATTCCCTCTGTCTATCAGGGAGGTTACTTGATCAAAAACAGGCAGGAAGGACGGGCTCTGGAGGGGGGATGACTGTGGCCTCTGCTGGCCATGGAGAAAAAAGAGGGGGCATCCAGGAGGAGGAGGTGATGCCCCACCCCTAGGGAGGAGGAGCCTCGGGGTGGGTGGGGCATATCTCTCTTTTGCTTCACCTCTTCTTTCTTTGTTTCTCCTGCCCACCCACCCCACGTCCTTCTCTCCATAGGTGTGGGTGGGTGTATCAGGGTTGGTATGGGACTTTCTTGCAACGAGCTCCTGCCTCCCCTGACAGAGTTCCAAAGCCTTACCGAGAAAGGGTTTTTGTGTTAGCCCACGCTGCTGCTTTTTCTGGCCACCTTGGCCTCCAAAGGACTTTGAGTAGTATTACTCCTCGTTTCTACTGGCCCAGTGTTTCAAAATCAGTCAGATGTAATTGTCGCAGCTGTCCTGTTTGTCAGAAAATTGGACATGCAAATTTCTTTGCACTGACCGAGGGGTGGAGCAACGGGCAGCGAGGAAAGGGGAATTCTCAGGGCTCTGAGAACCCCTGGGTTTTATTCTGGGTCAGCGGACCCCCAAAGAAAGGGAGGGCAAGTTTTCTACAGGAGAAGTGGGCTTGCAGCTGCGAAGCTTGGAGACGCTGGAGAATTCAGACTTTATTGGCATAAGAAAATTAAAAGCATACAAATAGAAAAGTTAAATAAAAATAATAAATAGATGTAAGCTTGATGGTTACACAGCTAGAGATGTGACTGGGGACACGGCAGGAGATGTTTGGGACAATCTGGTTAATTTTGGGGGGGGCTGGAAAGAAAGAACCTTTGTAAGAAACTCGGCTACTAAGACCGTTGTTTCTTGCAAGTAGTCATGGAGGAGGAAACCTGTGAGAAGCTGAGGGGGACCGGAAAAGCCTGAGATAATTGGGCCTAAGATACAAGCACGAATATCTTTGAGCTCAGGACAGTAACAGAGAATATGTGTGACTGAGTCCGGCTCTAAACCACAGAGATTGCAGATTCTTTGCTCAAAGGGTACCCGAGCATATCATTCCTTAAGAACCTCAGAAGGGAAAATGTTCAACCGAGCTAACATAAAAGCCCTCCCAAAAAGAGGGTTTACCAAGGACTGAAAATAAGGAGGGAAAGATACCGAAATGGAGGGAAAGATACCGAAATGGATTGGGGAACATATCTGGTTTATGTTGGAAACTAACTGGAGATACTCAGACTCCCGCAGTCTCTCCTTAATAAGGGAAAGTGCCTGATTAAAGTTACTATTGAGAAGGGAGTTTAAAGATATGCCAATAGACATAAGTTTGGTTTCACATTGTGTAAACCATGTAGATTGGTAAGGATCTTTAAGAAGATGAACAGGGAGAGAGTCTGGGCCTATTTTAAAAAAGAGACGCAACCAGAATTTAAAAGTAAGTGCCCATGCCGTCGTAGAGGGAAGGTGCAGGTCTAGCTCTATGGCTATAGTAGATAGTTTAATTAAGTTGGGGATCCCTAAAATCCATCTAAAGAAGGAGGCAGCCAATAGATTGATTTTATTATTCATGGTGTTGATCCAAATAGGGACATCATAGAGCAGGCGATTAATCAATTTAGCCTGGAAGATATGAATGGCAGCTGGAACAAACTGATTCCCAGCATTATGATAGAATTTAGTTATAGCTCCAAGAAGGTGTGAAACAGAAGCTATCGCAGAATCTCTATGTGTAGTCCACTTGAGTTAGAAATGGAGTGATATTCCTAGGTATTTAAAGGGTTTGACTTGTTCAATGGACTGGTTATTAATTTTCCCCTGAAAGGGCTTTCAAGATTTTGAGAAAAGCATAATTTTAGTTTTCTCCACATTGATAACAAGATTGTCGCGTGAACAATATGATTGAAACAGGGAGAGAAATTGTCTTAAGCCTGAGCTAGATATAGAAAGAAGGATGGCATCATCCGCATATAACAAAAGAGGTACTGGCACCTTATTTAAAAACGGGGCAGACTTTTCAGCTGGTGACAACTGAGGGCGTAGATCTGCTAAGCAAAGGTTAAATAGAAACGGGGCTAAGATACAGCCCTGCCTCACTCCTCTAGTAACTGGGATCTTCTCGGAGACAGAACCATAGCAATCATAACGAACTTGGCAAAAATTGGCATAATGTAATTTACGAATTAAGAAAAGTAGATGTGGGGTAATTCCCCATAAGGCTAACTTTTCCCATAAAATAAGTCTGTTGACAGAGTCAAAAGCAGCTTTCAGATCAATAAAAGCCGCATACAGGTTTCCTTTAATTTGGTGTGTATCCTTCTCTGCTAGAAACAACAGAATGCATGGTCTAATGTTGAGCAGCCCGAGTGAAAACCAATTTGCTCACATCCTGGAAGGTTCACAGAGGAGGACCAAGTAGCAAGGTGAACTAAAAGATGTTTACTATACAGCTTTCCAATTGCCAGGAGCAGGCTTATAGGTCTATAGTTACCCGGATTAGAAGGGTCATTTTTTAAAAAATAGACACTAAGATGGAGGTGAGCTAGTCTGCTGGGATAAACCCATGCTCGTCAATTAAGGTGAACAAATTTGCCAGGGGGTCAGCCCACCATTGAGCATTGTTAATTAGGAGGTCATTGGAAATCCCGTCTGGACCTGGAGAATATTTTAGAGTAATTTGTCCAATCAAGAGGGGAGATAAGCAAAGGGCTTTTATAAGGCTCTTTCATGGAAATTGAATTGACTTGCAATCTGCTTTTTTCGGAAGAGTTTCCTTTCCTCATTGCAACTGACTCATGAAGTCGCCATGATGAATTGGGTGTGTAGCTGCCTGGAGAGGGGGGAGAAATTAATATTTATGATCTGATTGCATGAACAGAAGTTTAACGGCTATTTTTTATGGCAAGTAACAGACCCGAAAATTTGTTTCTTGGAAACCGATTGTGGACATAGATCTCTTAGGCGGCAGAGAATCTTTGGCAATGTTGGAGGTTTTTTTTTACTGTGCCACAACTGATAGAACTGAGAAAGTGAAACTAATTGTCTTTTTCACCTTAACCCTCCCTCCCTAAGATTCTGTTACGCTTCTGGCGCAGAGTAAATGAAGACACTTTACCAGCTCTTCTTTGACGGTTATATTTACATATATGGCCATAAAGGGGGATTATAAATCTAATAATCACATTTATGACCAGAGTGTTCTCCGCAAGATTCTGAATTCGTTCTGGCCAAGGAGCTATGAGGGAAACCTAAGCAATTTAGTCTGACTCTCATGGTTTTGGATGAGAGGTTGAGGGCGAGACTCATTATTGAGATTTAAAATGGAGGCATAACTTGTATGCTGTCTTCAGGCATTTAAATTTAAGCGGATAA